CTCCCATGTGGGCCTTTCCTCGCGTGGATTGAGTGTCCTCACAACATGGCGGCCGGCTTCCCCCAGAGCAAGGGATATGAGGGAGAGCAGGGGAGAGGGAGGCACACACACCAGGTGGAAGTTGTCCTTGTTATGATGCAGCTTCAGGAATCATTTCATAGAGACGGGGGCAGGGGAGTGGCTCACACCTGTAATCCCAGCTACTCGGGAGGTGGAGGTGGGAGAATCACTTAAGCCTAGGGGTTCTAGACCAGCCTGGCCAACACAGTGAAAGCCTGTCTCTACCAAAAACACAAAAATTAGCCCAGTGTGGTGGCGCATGCCTGTAATCCCAGCTACTTGGGAGGCTGAGGCAGGAGAATTGCTTGAACCCGGGAGGTGGAGGTTGCAGGGAGCTGAGATTGCACTACTGCACTCCAGCCTGGGCGACACAGCGAGACTCCTTCTTAAAAAAAAAAAAAAAAAAAAAAGTATTTTTTGAAAATAAAAAAATGTGTAAAAAGGAATCATCTAGCATACCTTCTGTCACATTCCATTAATTAGAAGCGAATCACTGAATCTGACCCGCACACATGGTGAGAGGCTCCGGCCGCACCCTTTGGAGGAAGGCATAGGGAGCAATTTGCAGACATATTTCTAGACCACCTCACATTGCTTCCGATCTTTCGCCATTAAAGCAATGCTCCAAGGTTTACTCTCGAGTGGCTTCTTGTCCTGCCTGAGCCCTACACCACCCACAAGCCACTAAGAGTCAACGGCAAAGAGGCCGGGAGAGCTGATTTAGAATCATCAGGGTCTACTCCTGGGACCACCCTCTCCTGAGACACCCAGGAGACGGGTGGAGTCCAAACCAAGCTGGCCAGGAGAAAGGATGGGATGGAGACTGGAAGGACACCCACAGGCCCTCTCTTTGGTTTTGTACGATATACAAGGCTCAACAAGAGGGTATGATCGGCCCAAGCTACAGTGCAGGGGCAGGGAAATCCACGTACAGTCGCGGCTCTAGAGCCCTTTGGACTGAGACCTGCTGCCTCTTTCGTATAAAAAGCTTTCATGGCCAGGCACAGTGGCTCACGCCTGTAATCCCAGTACTCTGGGAGGCCGAGGCAGGCGGATCACCTGAGGTCAGGAGTTCAAGACCAGCCTGGCCAACATGGTGAAACCCCATCTCTACTAAAAGTGCAAAAATTAACCGGGCATGGTGGCAGGCATCTGTAATCCCAGCTACTTGGGAGGCTGAGGCAGGAGGATCACTTGAACCGGGGAGGTGGAGGTTGCAGTGACCTGAGACTGTGCCATTGCACTCCAACCTGGGTAATAAGAGTGAAACTCTGTCTGAAAAAAAAGCTTGCATGGCCAGGTGTGTTGTCTCACGCCTGTAATCCCAGTATTTTTTGAGGCCAAGATGGGAGGATCACTTGAGCCCAGGAGTTTGAGACCAGCCTGGGCAACATAGCAAGACCTCATCTCTACAAAATAGAAAAATTAGTCACGCATGGTGGTGCATGCCTGCAGTCCTAGCTCTTCAGGAGGCTGAGGCAGGAGGATTTCTTGAGCCCAGTAGGTTGAGATCGCGCCACTGCACTCCAGCCTGGGCCACAGAGCAAGACCCCATCTCTTAAAAACACAAAGCGTTAGGCCAGGCACGGTGGCTCACACCTGTAATCCCAGCACTTTGGGAGGCCAAGGCAGGATCGGATCACGAGGTCAGGAGATCGAGACCATCCTGGCTAACACAGTGAAACCTTGTCTTTACTAAAAATACAAAAAAATTAGCCAGGTGTGGTGGCGGGCACCTGTAGTCCCAGCTACCCGGGAGACTGAGGCAGGAGAATGGCGTGAACCCGGGAGGTGGAGCTTGCAGTGAGCCGAGATTGTGCCACTGCACTCCAGCCTGGGTGACAGAGTGAGACTCCGTGTCAAAAAAAATAAAAAAACCCAAAAAAACAAAAAAACAAAAAAAACCCACAAAGCATTCAGTACTAGGTAGTAAATCGTGAGTAGCTTTCTGGGGAGGAAGCTCCATTCTTCTCTGGCTTCCCTGGGTCCTGAGACCTTGCCCCTCCAACCTGGAGGCCCAGGAGTGCCGAGCAGCACCCGCAGAGGGCTGTGGGGGCAAGTGAACCTCAGGTGGAAGGCTGAGCGGAGTCCTTCAGCCCAGGACCGCAAGGAAGGAGCGGGAATCTGTGGAGCTTTCTCTACCTGCTCCCGCTGTGCCTCCGCACGCAGCTTTGTCTCCACCTGGTGGACGCCCCACCTAAGAGGACAGTGGAGGCGGCTGGTTGGTGAACTGGCTCCATGGCAGAGATCAGACAGCCCACGCAGCAGGAGGCAGAGTTTTCCAACTCAGGCACTGCCGACATTTGGGACAACATTGTTCTCTGGGGTGGGTCCTGCAGGGTGCTGAGCAGCGTCCCCAGCCTCCACCCACTTCATGCCAGGAGCTCCCCCAAGTCGTGACAATGACAAACACTCCCAGTTAAGAACCGATGGTCTAGGACGAGCTCGATGCCAGGGCACAGCCTTGTGCGGGTGGACAGAGCCGAAGGCTGCTTCCTGCCTGGTCCAGCCCCTACTCTGGAAGGATCCCCAGGACACTGTGGGCTGGTCTCTGACTTGGGAGTCAGGCTTGAGTCAGCACCATGAAGACAGTGAATGAAAAAGAACACGCTCTTCTTGTAGACAACCCTGAACAGCAACGCTCAGGCATGCTACAGTTTGGAATCCACTGAGCCAGGGTGCAGGGAGGACGGAAGCATGACCAGCGTGCAGATGGCTGGACATCCGCTGGCTGAGGGCGGGTCTCAGCATCCCTGCTGGCCTGCAGGGCAACTCCCACTGGTTTCAGTGTTACACCCTGTGAACGTCACAGCTGTGAGCAGACTGAGGACCTGTGAGGGCTACAGGGTCAGGGTGACGTCAGCCGAGATACCCTTGACCTCGCCGGAGGTCACCACCCTGTCCCGCCACTCTGTGGTGGGAATGGAGCACCTCTCCTGCACAGAGAGCAGAGATGTGGGGAGACAGGCAGGGAGACCCAGGCACCCTCTGGAAGAAGGAAGGGCATGCCAACTGCTCTGAAGACCCAGGAGGCTCCCCAAGAGGCTGGAAAAGGCCCGGGGACCCCTGGGAAGGGTACCTGGGATTTCAAAGAGGAGGGGCTCAATGGAGTGTGCTGAGAGGAGTGTGGGACAAATGGGGAGGGCGGGTGGGGCGACTGTCCTGGGTGCTGAGGGACAGAGGCTATGGGAGTGAGGGGTGGCGGGAGGCAGCTCAGGGCTCTCCAGTGCCAGATAGAACCTGGGTTTTATCCTCAGCCACGAGGAGTCACCTGGACATCTCATGACAAACTTTGGCCTGACTTATGTCCCCCCACTCCCAATTCTTATGTTGAAGCCCTAACCCCCATTTGACTGTATTTGGAGATTAGGTCTTCAGGGAGGAAATGAAGGTTATATGACGTCATCAGGTGGGACTGATCTGAATAGAACTGGGGTCCTTATAAGAAAAGGAAGAGGCCAGGCACAGTGGCTCACACCTCTAATCCCAGCACTTTGGGAGGCTGAGGCAGGAGGATCACTTGAGCCCAGGAGTTTGACACCAGCCTGGGCAACATACTGAGATCCCATCTCTACAGAAAAACAACAACAACAACAACAAAAAGGCTTGGCATGGTGGTTCATGCCTGTAATCCTAGCACTTTGGGAGGCCGAGACGGGCGGATCACATGGTCAGGAGATTGAGACCATCCTGGCTAACATGGTGAAACCCCATCTCTACTAAACATACAAAAAATTACCTGGTATGGTGGTGGGCACCTGTAGTCCCAGCTACTTGGGAGGCTGAGGCAGGAGAATGGCGTGAACCCGGGAGGCGGAGCTTGCAGTGAGCCGAGATCACACCACTGCACTCCAGCCTGGGCAACAGAGCGAGACTCCATTTCAAAAAAAAAATAAAAAATGTGCTCGTGGATACTTGGGAGGCTGAGGTGGGAGGCTTGATTAAGCCCAGGAGATTGAGCCTGCAGTGAGCTGTGACCTCACCACTGCACTCCAACCTGGATGACACGGCAGTATCTTTTAAAAAGCAAACAAAACAAAAAAAAGAAAGAAAGGAAAGAGATACCAGGGGTGCATATGGACAGACAAAAAGCCACAGGAGGACACTGGACACTGTGAGGAGGTGGCCATCTGCAAGCCAAGGAGAGAGGCCTCACCAGAAACCACCCCCTGCTGGCACCTTGATCTCACACTTCTGGTCTCCAGAACAGGGAGAAAATAAATTTTGTTTAAGTCCCAGTCTGTGGTATTGTTAGGGCAGCCCCAGCCGACTAAGACAGATGGTGATGGTTAGAGAGGGGAGCAGTTAGAGGGAAAGCTGGTTAAGGACACAAGATACACAGGGGCCAGAACTAGAGGGGCTGATGGACAGGGGGACAGAACACATGCGCCATCATGTCACCTGCAGGAAAGCACAGTCAAAGCCAGCTCTCAGCAGTGTAGGGCTTTATAAACACCTAAAACAGGGCCGCGAACAGCCAAGGGTAATACGTGTCTGGTGACTGTGACCAACACAGTGACCATGACTCAGGAAGGGAACACTTGGGCTGCCTCAAGTCATTGCTTGTGACCCCAGAAGCTACTAACACGTGCACATGCATGCACACACACGTGCATGCACACATTGCTGTTATATTCCACTAAGCACGCTTACACGAGGAAGTGGAGCATGGAGTTTGTCTCCAATGGGGCAGCCCGCATCTTCATGGGTCTCACACCCACTCTCAGGGGAGACCATGGCCTGGCAGAGCGCAGAATTTAAGGGAGGAAGGGAGGCACAGAAGGGTTTTTAAGATGGAGTCAGCTATGTGTGGCCAAATCTGGCCTGCCTGTTTTTGTACAGTGGCAAGCTAAGAATGGTTTTTATACTTTTAAGTGACTGGAAAAAGTTAAAGGGGTAATAATATTTCATGGCATGTGAAAAATTACATGAAATTCACATTTCAGTGTCCAAAAAAATAAAAGTTTTATTGGCACACAGCCAAGCCCATCGGATGACGCATTTTCCATGGCTCATCTTGCTACAATGGCAGGGTTCACTAACGTGACAGACATGGTGTGGCTCACAAAGCCGAAGATATTTACTATGTGGCCCTTTACAGAAAAGGTCCGCTGACCTCTCGCTCAAAGCAACAATCATTTATGTCACTTGTGATTCTGCAGGCGGGGCTCAGCTGGGCAGCTCTCCTGGCCAGGCACGGCTCAGCTGGGTGGCTCTTCTAGCCAGGCACAGCTCAGCTGGGTGACTCTCCTGGCTGAGGTGGGGCTCAGCTGGGTGGCTCTCCTGGCTGAGGTGGGGTTCAACTGGGTGGCAATCCTGGTGGAGGTGGGGCTCAGTTGGGTGGCAATCCTGGTAGAGGTGGGGCTCAGTTGGGTGGCTCTCCTGGCCAGCTGGGCGGCAATCCTGGTGGAGGTGGGGCTCAGTTGGGTGGCTCTCCTGGCCAGCTGGGCGGCAATCCTGGTGGAGGTGGGGCTCAGTTGGGTGGCTCTCCTGGCCAGCTGGGCGGCAATCCTGGTGAAGGTGGGCCTCAGCTGGACGGCTCTCCTGACCATGGCTGGGCTTCTCTGCCCCTGGAGGGCAGCTACCTGTTGGATGGGGCACTGTGGTTCTTCTTCTCCTTGTATCTCCTCCGGCAGGCCAGCCTTGGGTCCTTCACCATGCAGGGTCCCACAAGATGGAGCAGATGCAGGCAAGGTCTCTTAAGCTTGGGCTCAGGGCAGTCACAGCGTCACTTCCACTGCAGCCTGTCCAAGGCAGGGCAAGGAAGCCCAGATGCAAGGGCCAGGGGAGCGGTCTCCACTTCTGGACTGGTAGAGTAGCAAGGACATGGTGGGAAGGGCATGGATATAAGGGGGGATGAAGGATGAGGGCATTTTGGCAACAATCTGCCACACTGTGGTTTCAGGAGCAGAGCCAGCAAAAACACAGCTCCTGGGAAGAACACCCCACAGCATAACTCATACAGACACCAAAACCCAGGCAGCCCACGGCAGTGGTTCTCAAAGAGGGCAGATTTTGCCCCCAGGAGACACTGGGTGATGTCTGAGGACATTCGTGGTTGTCACCATTTAGGGTAGCTCCTGGCATGGAGTGGGTGGAGGCCAGGGACGCTGCTAAGCACCCTGCAGTGCCAAGAATGACTCCACTGCAGAGAATAATCCAGCCCCAAACGTCAAAAGTGCTGCTGTTGGCCAGAGCAGTGGCTCGCACCTGTAATCCCAGCACTTTGGGAGGCTCACTTGAGCCCAGTAGTTGGAGACCAGCCTGGGCAATACAGTGAGACCCCGTCTCTTAAAAACTGTGGCTGTTGAGAAGCTCAGATCTGGGAAGGACAGGCTAGGGTCCCTGGGGCTAGGGACTAGGGATTAGAACCTAGCTCTGCAGATGGTCGGCAGCCAACACTGCTGCTTCTGCCAGGTCTCAGGTGTGACAGGGCAAGGCCCACAGCCCTCCCCAGGTTCCCAGTGTGGGTGGTCACGCTGATCCCCTCTTGCCTTCCCACAATTTAGAGTCAGATGAAAGCTGTGGCCTCCCGCCCTGCCTTGATCCCCTGAAAATGACAGACACAGATGTGCCTGTAGTTACCTTACGTTTCCCAGACCCCGGGTTGAGAATCCCTGCTGTTACGGGTGGATCAAAAGGCATTTGTTAAGGTTAAATGGAAAATTTTAGGTTATATATATTTTGCCATCAAAAGAAAAAAAAAAAGACACTCCAGCACACGCTGCATGGATGAACCTTGAGCACATCACACTCTGTGAGAGAAGCCGGACACAGTATGTGATTCCATTTCTATAGAATGTCCAGGAGAGGCCAATCCACAGAGGCAGGAAGGGGATTTGTGGGTGCCAGACCCTGAAGGAGGGGGTGAAAGTAATGGTTAATGGAGATGGAATTTTCTTTTGGGCTGAAGAGAATGTTCTGGAATGTGAGGTAATGGTCACACAGTTCTGTTAATATACTAAAAACCAGGCTGGGTGCGATGGCTCACATCTGTTAATACCAGCACTTTGGGCGGCTGAGGCAGGAGGATAGCTTGAGCCCAGAAGCACAGTTCAAGACCAGCCTGGGCAACACAGTGAGACCCCACCTCTACAAAGTCTCTACAAACTACAAAAATTGGCCAGGCACAGTGGTGTGCACCTGTAGTCCCAGTTACTTGGGAGGTGGAGGTGGGAGGATTGTTTAGGCCCTGGAGTTTCAGGCTGCAGTGAGCTTTGATTGCACCACTGTACTCCAGCCTGGGCAACAGAGTGAGATCCTATCTCAAAAAAAACCACTGTGCCCTGAGGCACAGTAGCCCACACCTGTAATTCCAGCACTTTGGGAGGCCAAGGTGGACGGATCACTTGAGGTCAGGGTTCAAGACCAGCCTGGCCAGCATGGTGAAACCCCATCTCTACTAAAAATACAAAAAAATTAGCCACGTGTGGTAGCAGACTTGTGTAATCCCCGGCTACTCCAAAGGCTGAGGTAGGAGAATTGCTTGAACCTAGGAGGTGGAGGCTGCAGTGAGCTGAGATTGTACCACTGCACTCCAGGCTGGGTGACAGAGTGAGACTCTGTCTAAAAAAAAAAAAAAAGTCTCGTTCTTTCTAGCCTTTTCTAGCAACTACCACATAACAGGCGCTTCAAAGCCATCTGCAGAGTCTGATTCAGAGACACCTGTGGTAGCTGAGACCAGCGATCACGTGAACACACCAACTCCGGACCAAAACCTAAAGTTGATTATTCCAAAAATGGTCAGAGCTCAGATTCCTACATCCCAGAGAGAAACCACTCAGGGGCTGACATAGATGACACTAGACAGTTAGGGCAGGGGTCCTGATGTAGAGCCAGTGCCCGTAAACTCTGCAATAAACTCACAGGACAGGAAGCAGCCCTTTTAAATTCTTGCAGAGCAAAAGAGCTGGGCAGAAAACAAGAGCTCTGCTAAACTACATCATGAAAAGGGTTTTTGTTTTTGTTTCTGTTTTCAGGGTCTCGCTCTGTCCCCCTGGCTGGAGCACAGTGATGCAACCACAGCTCACTGCAGCCTCCAACTCCTGGGCTCAAGTGATTCACCTCAGCCTCCCAAGCAGCTGGGACGACAGGTGTGCACCGCCACACCCAGATGATTTTTCAATTTTTTGTAAAGTCAGGGCCTTGCTTTGTTGCCCAGGTTGGTCTTGAACTCCTGGCCTCAAGCAATCTTCCTGCCTCAGCCTCCCAAAGTGCTGGGATTACAGGTGTGAGCCACTGCGCCTGGCTAATTTTTTAAATTTTTGGTAGAGATGGGGTCTCACTATGTTGCCCAGACTGGTCTCGAACTCCTGGGCTCAAGCCATCCTCCTGCCTTGACCTCCCAAAGTGCTGGGATTACTGGCATAAGCCAATGTGCCCAGCCAACTTTTTCTTTTTTTAATGTGAATTTTTTACTTCTACTTGAAATTCCAACTTAGCATGAAAAATCATTTGCATTTTCAGAACAAAGGAGGCCATCTTCTGGCTAAGCTGAAAAAAAAAAAAAAGTCATTATAGGCCTGAGGCACCATTTTAAACATGATGTTGCTTTTTTCGGGTTGCACTATGAGGAATTCTGTGTGTACAAAATACCTCAACAGAAAGTGAAAGCAGCCCTGGGCGATCCGGGGGCAAATTCATTGAGTCACTGGATAAATACTTCCTGGGTGCTTCTGGGGGCCGGCTGCTGTCACGGGCGCTGTCACAGCATCGGGGAATAACCAACGTCCTGTCCTCCAGGAGGGCGCTGCGCGATAGTCCACGGAGACACGGGGTAAGCAAAATAACTCAATGCGATCTGATGGTTCTCATGCCGTTGGGAAGAACAGGGCAGGCGGTGAGAGCCGGGGATTGCACTTTCTCACGGGCTGGTCATGGCCAGCCTGGTGGGTGAGGAGGAGGGTGAAGACACAAAGCTGGGGAAACAGGGAAGCGCATTTGAGCAGAGGGAACTGCATGGGAAGGGCCTGAGGGTGGAACGCCCAGAATCTGGAATGGTCCAGAAGGCAGTGCGACTAGAGCGGAAGGAATGAAGGGAGATGGGGTCACAGAATAAAGGGGGTGGAACAGGGGGTAGAGGACACCATGATGGACGTCACAGGCCATCGCAGGGCAGAGAATAGAGGGTGGGACAGGGGACACCGTGATGGATGTCACAGGCCATCGCAGGGGCTCCGGCTTGTCCTGAGACCCCACGGGGGTTTCCAGCGGAGGAGGGGCACAGGCTACGTTGTGATGGGGCCTCTTTGGCGCTGTGCGCGGACGGAAATGGGGGCGAGAGCAGAAGGAATCGTGCAGGTCCAAAATACAGAGGAGGCAGGCTGGCGCGCGGTAGAGGCGGTGCGCGTGCAGGCGCCTGCGCTCAAGGTCAGAAGGAGGAGAGGAGACCGGGCTGGCTCCCCAGTTTGGGATCCGCACGAAGGACTGCAGGCAGCCCTGCCTGCCGTGGGGAAGTCAGCAGGATGAAGGGGTTTTGGAGAAGCGCGCAGGTGTTTGGACTTGGATATGATCCATCTTTGAAATGCCAGTCAGACATCCACAGAGCGTGCTGCACGGGCCGCTGTATGCAGGGGACAAGACTCTCCAGGGAGAGGCCTGAGCCGGAGTCAGAAACTGGGTGTCATCGATAGATAATATTTTTTAAAGATTGAGATAAGTCCACACTGTAACATCCCCGCTTTAAAGTGCACCGTTCGGTGGAATCTAGCACATTTACAAGGCTGTGCAAACATCCCTTCTACCTAATTTCAGAACGTTTCCACCACCCCAAAAAGAAACCCATCCACTTCAGCGTTCTCTCCATCCCTCCCCAGCCCCCAGAACCACTAATCCATGTCCTGTCTCTGTGGATTTGCCTGTTCCGGAATTTTCATAGGAAAGAATCATGCACTATACAGCCTTTTGTTTTATTTATATTTTAGAGGCAGGGTCTTGCATCTCAGGCCATCCGTGTGGCTGCAACAGAAGACCCCAGCCTGGGTGATGTACAGAGAGCAGTATTTCATTTTCTCATAGTTCCACAGGCTGGGAAGTCCAAGATCAAGGCGCTGGCACCTGGTGTCTGGTGAGGGCCTTCCTCCTGCATCCTCACATGACAAAAGAGCAAGTGAACCAGCCAGCCTCCCCCTGCCCAGATCCCATTCACAAGGAGCCCTCATGGCCTAACCACATCTCTTTTTTCAGGTAGTGTTTTGCTCTGTCTCCCAGGCTGGAGTGCAGTGGCATGATCATAGCCCACTGCAGCCTTGACCTCCTGGGCTCAAGCGCTCCTCCTGCCTTGGCTTCTCAAAGCGCTGGGATTACAGGTGTGAGCCACTGGTCCAGCCCCAAGCACGCCTCTTAATGGCCACATCTCTTAATACTGAATTTTGGAGGGGACACAAACCACAGGTGCCAGGTGACCAGAGACCACTCCTGTAGCCTGAAGTCCCCTGGAATGAGCTAGCCAATCCCCAGGTGTGCCCTGCCCCACTGTGCCTGGAAACTCCAATAAAGGCCATGGCCTCAGCCTGGCCTTACTCCCGCTCCTGCCCAATCCGTGTTCCCCCCGTGTGGTGTGACGAGCCCCTTCTCCCACAGCAAGCATCGGTGATAAATTCCTCTTTCAACAGCACGGGCCTCCTGTGTCACCACTTAGTCACTCCATAAATGACAACCCCATGGTTACCAAATGAGCCATTCTCCAAGAACAAGAAGGTGAAGGAGAGAGGCTGAGGGTGTGAGGGATCATAGGCAGGGACTGGGAGGACACCCATAAAAACTGGCGCCGACTGGCCGGCTTCCAGACCTGGCTCTGCCCACTACAGGGCTCCAAGTCCCTTATTCTTTCTTAGACTCAGTTTACTCACCTGTAAAATGGGAACATCTAATTTGCTATGGGGATGGTGTGATGATTAAACAAGAAGTCATAGGCTACGGGGCCACCATGTGGCAGGAGCTTAGGATGTAGCCCAGGGTGGCCAGAATTTTCTTTTTTTTTTTTTGGAGACGGAGTCTTGCTCTGTCGCCCAGGCTGGAGTGCAACGGCACCATCTCAGTTCACTGCAACCTCCACCTCCCTGGTTCAAGAGATTCTCCTGCCTCAGCCTCCCCAGTAGCTGGGAATACAGGCACCTGCCACCATACCCAGTTAATTTTGTATTTTTAGTGGAGACAGGGTTTCACCATGTTGGTCAGGCTGGGTCAAACTCCTCACCTCAGGTGATCTGTCCACCTCGGCCTTCCAAAGTACTGGGATTACAGGCGGGAGTCACTGTGCCTGGCCCCAGAGTTTCCAATTTTAAGTGATGCTAGGAACCAGAGGTTTTGTGAAATCTTCCTTTTTTTTTTTTTTTTTTTTTTCTTTTTTAAGACGGAGTCTCACTCTATTGCCCAGGCTGGAGTGCAGTGGCATGATCTTGACTCACTGCAACCTCTGCTCCCGGGCTCAGGTGATTCTCCTGCCTCAGCCTCCCAAGTAGCTGGGACTATAGGTGCACCCCACCATGCCCAGCCGAATCTCCCACTTTTAAATGCTGGCAACTAATTCAAATAAAGCAAGCAGAAAGCTGACTGCACAGGGGTGAGAACCAAACATGGCCTGCAGGCTGTCAATTTTCAAAGTCTGACCCAGACTGAGGAGGTGAGAGTGAGAGTTGAGAAACAGGTATAAAAAGTCACAACTTTGGGAGGCCGAGGTGGGCGGATCACAAGTCAGGAGATCGAGACCATCCTGGCTAACACGGTGAAACCCCATCTCTACCGAAAATACAAAAAATTAGGCCGGGCGCAGTGGCTCAAGCCTGTAATCCCAGCACTTTGGGAGGCCTAGACGGGTGGATCACGAGGTCAGGAGATCGAGACCATCCTGGCTAACACGGTGAAACCCCGTCTCTACTAAAAAAATACAAAAAACTAGCCAGGCGAGGTGGCGGGCGCCTGTAGTCCCAGCTACTCGGGAGGCTGAGGCAAGAGAATGGCGTAAACTCGGGAGGTGGAGCTTGCAGTGAGCTGAGATCTGGCCACTGTACTCCAGCCTGGGCAACAGAGCAAGACTCCGTCTCAAAAAAAAAAAAAAAAAAAAGAAGTCACAAACTGGCCAGGCGCAGTGGCTCACACCTGTGATCCCAGCACTTTGGGAGGCTGAGGTGGGCGGATCACTTGAGGTCAGGAATTCGAGACCAGTCTGGTCAACACAGCAAGCCCTCATTTCTACTGAAAATACAAAAATTAGCTGGGCACAGTGGCTCACACCTGTAATCCCAGCACTTTGGGAGGCCGAGGCAGGAGGATCATTGGAGATCAGATCAAGACCAGCCTGGCCAACATGGCGTATACAAAAAAAAAAAAAAAAAAAAAAGCCAGGCATGGTGGTGCATGCCTGTAATCCCAGCTACTCAGGAGGCTGAGGTATGAGAATCGCTTGAACCTGGGAGGCACAGGTTGCAGTGAGCCAAGATTGTGCCACTGCACTCCAGCCTGGGCAACGGAGTGAGACCCTTTCTCAAAAAAAAAAAAAAAAAAAAAAAAAAGTCATAAATTTACTCTCAGTAAAGCCTGCCCATAACCCATGAGCCCAGGCTGTTTGCTGCTGCTGCTGCTGTTCGGAGTCACCTTTTCCTGGAAGGAAGTGTGCCACTGTACCACGCCAGAGATGGCTGCCATCTCCATGACAACAAGCACACGCTGGTGCTGCCTGCCTGGGAGGGGAGAACAGCGCGGGCGGGAAATGGAGAGCCTGGGCTAACATGGGCTTACAAACTGTGGTGACAAACGTCTACAAGTCCTGCCTGGCCCTCCCACCTTCAGGCCCCAGGCTAATGTCTTTTGATGGCTTTTTGGTCAGAGAGTTTGTTTTGGGAAGTCAAGCTTTTTCAGGTGCATCCTTCTAAGCTGAATTTCGGGATGCAAAGCTGGCGAGCCCCACTGATCTCATTTTGTTCATGTGGCCGCCAAGCTCAAGGGGACGTCGAGGCCTAGGGGATGGAATGGACCCATCTGAGCCACCCACGTCCCCTGGCCCAGAGCTCTTTCCGTGGGGCCATGCTCTCGTTTGCTCCGAAGGGACGGAGTAGGCTTGGGTGTGGTCCACACTTCAGACGGACACGTGTGGGATCTGCAGGTAGAGGCAGGTGGCGAAATGTCTTAGGGACAGCCAGGAAGATGGGTCATTCTCTCTCTGTGTATAATGATTTCTACTGAACACTGCATTGAATAACTCAATGGGAACACACACACACAAAACCCAAAGAACATTTAGAGTCCAAGGAAAAACTCAAGTGGAAATAAAGATTTTCCTAGAATCACAGGCTGAGAAATGTCATCGTTCGTTCTTTCTAAAAACAAGGACTTGGCCAGGCGCAGTGGCTCACACCTATAATCCCAGTGCTCTGGGAGGCCAAGGCAAGAGGATCACCTGAGGTCAGGAGTTCAAGACCAGTCTGGCCAACATGGTGAAACACTGTCTCTACTAAAAATACAAAAATCAGCCAGGCACAGTGGTGCGTGCCTGTAATCCCAGCTACTCGGGAGGCTGAGGCATGGGAATCACTTAAACTCGGGAGGCGGAGGTTGCAGTGAGCCGAGATCACGCCACTGCACTCCAGCCTGGGCGACAGAGACTCCGTCAAAAAAAAAAAAAAAAAAAAAAAAAAAAAAAACAAGGACTCTTTCTTCCCAAACACAGCTCATCAATCACCCCCATGGCAGACGGAGATGAAGGCTGAGGCTACCCAGCTGGAAACGGAAATATCACAGGCCCTGTGATGGTTAATACTGAGTGTCAACTTGATTGGACTGAGGGATGCAAAGTATTGTCCTGGGTGTGTCTGTGAGGCGGCTGCCAAAGGAGAGTCACATTTGAGTCAGTGGACAGGGAGAGGCAGCCCCGCCCTCACTCTGGGTGGCCACCATCTAATCAGCTGCCAGTGCGGCCAGGATAAAAGCAGGCAGAGGAACGTGGAAGGACTAGACTGGCTGAGTCTTCTGGCCTTCATCTTTCTCCCGTGCTGGGTGCTTCCTGCCCTCGAACATCAGACTCCAAGTTCCTCAGTTTTTGGACTCTTGGGCTTACACCAGCAGCTGGCCAGGGACTCTCGGGCCTCCGGTCATAGACTGAAGGCTGCGCTGTCGGATTCCCAACTTTTGAGATTTAGGGACTCGGACTGACCCACCCCTGGCGTCCTTGCTCCTCAGTCTGCAGACGGCCTAGCTGGGACTTTACCTTGTGACCGTGCGAGTCACTTCTCCTGGATAAGCTCCCTTTCATGGAGACCTGTATCCTGTGAGTCCTGTCCCTCTAGAGACCCTGACTCATCCAGCCACCGACTTCCGTGACCCTGGAGAACACCCACACTCCAGCGTTTTGGCCTTGGCGCACCCAGGTGGAGGGCGCAGTGCCTCAGGGGCCAGAGCGACAATGTGCCCTGCCACACCAGATGCTGATGCGCCCAGTCAAGTCCTTCATCAGGGCGAGTATTTTCAAGTCTGTTTTACCGGCAGTAAGATGACGTTTCAATTGCTGTGTGTACACACAACACACACACATACACCCCAGAATTTCATTTTTTGGCACTTCTGTTCACAGGGGTTTTATATTCAAAATGCATCTTACACATTCATACCCATAACAGTTCTGATTGTAACCAGTTTTTTTCTTTTTTTTTTTCTGACCATGAAACCCTTAGGTGCAGTCTCCACGTGAAATGCCCATTTCAGATCCAGAAACCCCCAAGATGTCCCAACGTATCAGAAAGGAGTTCTGTTAACTCAATCCTTGGGAAGATACCAAAAGGACTTTTCTGCTTTTTGAGTCAGGATCTTGCTCTGTCTCCCAGGCTGGAGAGCAGCAGCACAATCATAGCTCCCTGTGGCCTCAAACTCCTGGGTTCAAGTGACGCTCCCGCCTCATCCTCCCGAGCAGCTGGAACTACAGGTGTGCACCACCATGCTTGGCTAATTTTTTTTTTTTTTTTTTTTTTTTTAGAGATGGGGGTCTCACTATGTTGCTCAGGCTGGTCGCAAACTCCAGGGCTCAAGCGATCTTCCTGCCTCGGCCTCCCAAAATGCTGGGATAACAGGCGTGAGCCACTGCACCCAGCCCGAAAGGATTTTATTATCCCAGGATCACTTTCAAACCGTCTTCTTTTGAATGGAGTCAAGAAGCCAGCTTCAAACCAGGACCCGCCTGTTTCCTCAGGATGGAGCCACCATAGGGCGTCAGGTTCTTGAGGTGGGAACTGGATTCCAGAGCCTGGGCATCGAGTTTCCCGAGCCTCGGGGGCGAGCCAGGCTGTGCAGCAGTGGGACTGATGGGCTTGTCCTCTGCTCTGAGAAGGAACACGGTCCCATGTGGAGGCGGCTGCGTGGTGAGCCCCACCAGGCAGGTGCTTGAGAACACCATCCTGACGATACCATGCCGATCACGCTAGAGAAAGCATTAGCTACGTGCCTTCCCAGAAGCAGCAGCGGCTCACTATAGCAACACCTTTTTACTCTTGTGCACCAAACTGGCCCACATCTCAGGAACAAGGAGGGGTCGTCTCCTGTTCCAGCCCTCTCCTGCTGCTTTAAGAAACCGAACGGCCTGCAGAGCCCCGTCTGTGCTGGCTCATGAGCCGCTCATGTCAAGGGCAGGACAAGATGGCAAACCCCAGGTTCTCATGAGCAACTACAACCGGCCTCGAACCACCAACCTGGACTCAACCAACGACTCAAAACAACAGACACCACTGGCTCTTTACACATCCACGGCCAAACTACACTTAAAACAATAGACACTCCTGGCTCTTTAGACATCCACAGCCCAGCGACACTCAAAACAACAGACATCACTGACTCTTTATACATCCACGGCCCAACGACACTCAAAACAACAGACACCCCCGGCTCTTTATACATCTATGGCAAGGGCCTGGGGACATTACAGGTCACTCTGCTCCCGAGGGACAGAGCTCACCATAGACTTCACCTCCTGAAGCAGGACTGGCCTTCCCAGATCCACAATGACGCAGAATCAGAGCCATGCCGCCTCTCCACTCTCCACCAACCGCGACAAGTAAATGACTTGCCGTAGGTCCATTTAAA